CCTCCTCGTCCTCACTTACCCCCCCCTCCTCGTCCTCATTCTCCCCCCCTCCTCCTCCTCATTCTCCCCCCCTCCTCCTCCTCATCTTTGCTTCTTGCTGTCTTCCATTTCTGCTTCTCCTCCTCCTTCCCTGTACACCTCGCCTCCTGTCCTTCTCTGACCCTCCCTCACCTCCCTGACCTCTTCCTCCTCTCGTCGCTACTCAGGTCAAGGGCTGCATCGTCACAGCTGACGCCTACGTCCGAGGGGGGCCGTGAGGTCGTGACACTGGCTTGCCACGTCACCGTCCGCCAGCGTCTGCAGTTGCACTTGCGCAGAGACGTCAAACTTGCGGGCAGATAACAGGTGACAAGTCATCTCAACACCAGCACAGCACCAGCAAGACACAATCACCCAGGATAAGCATAACTTTATCTTCCTTCATTAAAAACCTTCTATGTGAAGTTGGCCAAATTTCGCTCTACCGTCTCGATCTTCGACCTGAGAGAGCTCAGCGGGTTCTCCTTGTTGTTGTTCAGGTCGTGCAGCACCATCTCTGCGCTCTTCAGGCTGTTCGAATCCAGCTGGAGCAGGTGACCCACCCGCTTTGCCTCCTTCTCCATGAGCTCCAGAGCGTTTTGCGACACCACAGGGACCGTCGCGCTGCCTCGCGCCTTGATCTGCTCAGCTTTTGCCTCCACACTCAGCTGCTTCGCCGTGTTGATCAGCTTGCGCGCGATCTTAATCCGCTCATCCGCTTCCAACCTGAAGTTTTCTTCTTCAACAACTCACAACTCCTCCTATCTCCCTCCTCACCTCTTCGCACGAGACTCTCGCTTGAGAAGGTCGATCTCTCGCCTTGTTCGCTTGATCTCTTCCTTGACGTCCCTCAACGAGTCGATCGCTTCCTGTGCTTCCTTCCTGTCCGTATCTGCATGCTCCTTGAGCACGTCGGATACCTCCCTCTTGAGAGACAAGGTTTTCTCCGATATCTCGGCCTGAAGCAACGATCAGGATGTACAGGAGCAAGCGACCTCACGCAAGCACGCACCTTCCTCTCAGCTAATCGCGCATCCTGCTGTGCTTTGACTGCATCAGATGCGAACTTGGAGGCCCTTTCGAAGTCTTCCTTGGCAAGCTTCTTATCTCTGAATGCCCCCAAATGCGCCTCAGTCGCGTCTGCCTGCGACCTGACAGCCTCTGCTCTCCTCCTTTCCAGCTCTGCCGCCTCCTGCTTGATCTTCGCTTCCATCGATTCTGCTTTTGCCTCATCCTCGAGCCGCTTAATGCGGTCACTTCCGTCAGACCCACTGTCCTCCCTAAACAACGAAGCAAGCCCTCCTCTCCTCCCTCTGGCAAGCAGCTCGTCTCTGGAAGTGACTGAGGTCTGTTCATTCGCACTGAACATCTTCGTTGTCATCGCTACCATGACCACCATCGCCACCACCACTACCCCCGCCATCCTCATCCTCCCTGTCTCCCATGCCGCAAGCATCGCGGCCTTTCGCCTTGTAGCTAGTATGAGGGGGATGATAACTTGTGTACGAGGGGGATGAACGTGACTGCATTTTATCCGGGTACTAGTACCGTAGTACCGTCCGCCGTAGTACTCGGATAGTACGGGGGCCCGCGGGCCCGGGCCCGGGCCTGAACTATAGTAAACTATAGTAATTCACTCCGTGTAGTTGAATAAGTCACTTTAGGAGTCGAAACGCACCGGGCGCGAATCGAGTCCCCGCCTGCCAGTGTGGCAGAACTTAACTTTGAGTAAAGAGTGGCAGAGGCTCAAGGCGCGAGTCACTCGGATGTAGTCCCGCCGGGGCTACAGGTTCGGAGCTTAGTAGAGCGGCGGCTCGCCGGGCCGTGATGGGCTGCCACCGGTCGGATCGGACGCGGCCCGGCACAGACCGTACGGTCCGACGGTCAATCTTGTAAAAGGTGAGTTTTTTTTTCAGGCAACGCGTCACTGATTAGTCAGCTGATTAGTCAAATTCGCGCGAGAACAGAATGACTAGCGAGGAAGGACAGGAAGGGAAGATGAGAGCCGAAGGCAGCGAGAGACGAGGGGAGATGGACGACTGGGTAGATAGAGCATGACTGGAGAACGACGATCATTCGGTGCTGTAGATAGAGCATGACAGAAGGACGACGATCATTCGGTGCTTTGTGCCGGGATCTACATCCTCATTTTGTTTGTCCGAAGCTCACTTGACTTGTCAAGGTAGCGGCTCGAAGGAAAGATGCCGATCCTCACAGCAGCAAGGAGTACACGCGCTCGATCCAGCTTAAGGAGAACCTCGTCAGCATCACTGCCAAGAAGCCGCAGTACGGTAAGTTGGAAGCTACTGGCCTTGCTCTGTTCTCACTCCTTGCACCGCTACCTTGTGACAGGCGATCGCATTTTTCACCTCCTATATGCTTATATGCGGTGAGATGGCTTGAGCTTGTCAGATCGGGAGGTTGATCAACCTCAGGTGTTGTCCTCCTCAACATTGTCGTCGCCATTCTTCTTGACGAGGTCTGTGTGGTTCTGCTCCCTTCGGCGCTTCCTGCATGACTTTCTCCCCTGTCCCACTCCTCTCACCTTGCGTCACATTCGCTTGTAGTTCGTCTCGTCAGTGGAGGAGGAGAAGGCAGAAGTCCGACGACAAGCTGAGCTGAAGATCAAAGCTCAGATGGATGAGGTCAAGAACCCCCTCGAGGTGATCTTCTTCTCATTCTCCGCTCCTCTTCGCCTCTCTCCTTCAGCCTTCCTTTCCTAAACATCCCCGTCTGCCCTCAGCATCCTCATTGTTTCTTTCCTCCCGGTATTTTCTCTTTCTCATCTTCTTTATCTTTGCTTCGCTCTTGTCATTTTCTTTTCGCGGGGTTACAGCCTCTTCTTGAGACCCTGAGACATTTCAAGAGCGCACAAGACCTCCGCGACAAGATTCTCTCGCTCTATCAGGTTCCTTCCCTCCTCACTCCTTCCTCCTGCCTCTTAGCTCGGCTTCCTTCTTCCTTTCTCACTCCGCCTTCCTTGCTCTTCCCCCTCGTTTCTTTCCTCTTCTCGCTTCCCTCACCCGACTCAGTCTGATTCCAAAGCTCTCTCTCCAGGTGCTTGACTGCGACTCGTCGGGATCTTTGAGCATGCAGGAGCTCAACGACGGGCTCTACAGGCTTCACTTCGACCCTCCCATCTACCTCAGCGTCGACGACTTTGAAAACATCACGGAGAACCGCTCGCTCTGCAACGCGCAGGGAGAGATAGGGGAGGAGGACTTCTTGACTATCATCAACCATCAGCTGAAGCAGCACATCGAGCTCTGCCTCTCCGACAGCATGGCAGAGGCGTCGCCGGTCTTGTCCAGCATCATGTCGTCCATCAAACTGCTCATGCTCTCTGTGGATGAGATCAAGACTGCGAAGCTTGAAGAGCTGAGACAGAACAGCTCGACTGGACAGCGAGGAGCTGCTGCGGTTATGGAGGTGACGAGGAAACAAGAAGGCGAAGTGGAGATGAAGGAGAACGAGACGGTGGCGGAGGAGAACGGGACGGAGAGCAAGGAGAACGGGGCGGAGGGGAAGGGAACAGAGCAGGGAGCTGAGGCGGAGGACCTCTCGAGCGCTATGAAGATTTTCGTGCAGAAGGTGAAGATCCTCAATGAGGTACAGGGGAAGTCAGTCGAGCTGATTGAGTCGCTTCACCGCCACCTCGACTCCTTCCAGGACAAGCTCATGGCCAGGTCCGTAGCCATGCACACTTCAAAGGGGAAGCACGGGGCAGCCAGCGGGAGGTCCAAGGAACGCAGCAGCCATCTTGAAAAGGGAGAGGAGCACAATCACTCTGCGAGGACCAAAAGGTCTGTCTCCCCCCCCGACGCCTCCACCTTCCGCTCCCTCGAGCCGCATCCAGGAGTTAGGAACCCCATCGCAGGGCACGACAGGGTCAGCAGGTCAGCTGAACTGGCAGCCTCCACTCACAGACCGCAGCCCCGCGGGAGGATGCGAGTGGATCGCGAGGGGACTCCCCCGTCCATCTTGTCTGTCCTTGCGGGCAGCAGGTCACCCTCACTGCGTGCCGACGTTGTGAACGCGTCCTCCCGCCACGGCTACAACGACGAGTTCATCCGGAGCGCCATCCAGGACCTTGGAAGAGCATCTCCCCCGCAGGAGCGAGTTACTTCCCAGCAGAAAGAGCAGCTCATCTTCGGGCATCAGGAGAGCAGGGAGGGATACTCGACCCTCGTGTCCCAGTCCTCTCGCTCCCCTGCCCTTCACCCTCGCCTACGGATGCTCACGAAGGAACGGGAAGGTCTCAGGCCCCACGCTGATCCGCTGCACAGCCCGAGATGAGGGAAGATGAGAAATTTACTGGATGAGGATGTACGAGACCATCTTTATGCATGCTTGGCATCCTGCAGATCCTCAAGTTTGTCCTGACGGAGGAGGTGAGGAGAAAGAGAAGAGAAGAGAGGAAGTTGAAGAGGAAGAGGAGCAGGGAGGCGAAAGAAGAAACGAAGAGAAGAAAGGAGGAGGATCAAGAGGAAAGGCAGGCAGTAACTTCAAACAATAAGACACCTTTATCTGCCGCAGCATCCGCCTGTTTTGTCGCTCAAGGTGCCTAACGTATCTGCACAGGAGTCACAACCCGAACACACCAGCTAGCAGGGTCGAGACCGCTTCCCCGTCCTTCCCGATCGGCTCTCTCTTCTCCTCTCATGCAGCCTATCGAGTATCCTTCGCAAGAGCTTGCCGTTCTTCTCCTCTACCTCGATGAGCTTGAGAGCAATGTCAGTTGTGCTGGCGGTTGCAAGGAGCGAGGGGTGCGGACCTTGGAGATACTCTCTCCTCCTTCCGAGGATTGCTTCTGCAGTCTGTCCTGGTTAAGATGCTGGCTCTGTACAACGACAAGAGAATCTGATCAGTCCTCAAGGACTTGAATCAAGAGTTCATCTCACAGTGGATGAGAGGAGGCTGGCGAGCCTCTTCAGATCTGCTGGCTGTACTGCAGCATCGTTCCCCACGCTCTCAGGTTTCTTCGATGCAAGAACACTTGATCTTGACCTACATTCATAGCTGCATGTCAGAACAGCTGCTTCCATACCGCGAGCGCTGCTAACCCGCTCTTGTAGCCGTCTTTATGCCTCATGGTGTTCATCAGGTCGTACTGCTTCACCTGCCGTCTGACCTGCGTCTCTAGAATCTTGTTTCTCCAGTTCTCCTGCGGGATGAAGTCAACGGACTCCAAGAGAGCGTGGTAAGGCTTCACAGACCATGTTGTATGCGTGCAATGCCGCGTCCTCCTCAGCCCATTCTTTGTTCCCCCCGTTCAAGACGTGATCTCCGTTCCACTTGGTCGGGTCTTGGAAGGTGTTGGCATAGCTAATGGTGGGGGGGATGGACCAGACGTTGACAGACTCAGGGCCCGTACCATCTCCAGTTGACACGCTTTCGTACCACGGCTGGGAAAGTGTCAAACGAGAGGCGAGCAAGTGAGGAGGGAGTGTATCATCCTCATCATCCTCACCAGGATGAGGCTTGTTGGCGTCACTCTCTGCCGCATCATCACCACCATCACTACTGCCATCGCCACCACGGAAGCGCCCACGGCCGCCGCAGGTGCCATGACTCTTCGTACCATGGCCGTGAATCAAACTTTGATACTTTGGGTGATGAGGTAGGAAAGTTTGAGGTCAGCGAAGTTTCAAAGTTCAAAGTTTCCCTGGTCACTCAGATTGGTTGGAGCTGGGCCCCGGCCCGGGCCCAAGGCAGTACCCCCACCCCTCAATCTAAGCAAATTTCGGTAGCAGACACCCCTAGTCATTGTGCCATTTGGCCTTCTTTTCAGTCAATAAAAGTGCCATTGAGTATGGCAGGGGAGGCGCGCCTGGAGGCGCTATGGCGGCGAGTGCAGGGGACAGGGCAGTGCGGGAAGATGCTGGAACACAAGAGAAAGCAGCTAGATGCGTGCGTCAGAGGAGAGTCAGCACATGCATGCTCATTGTTCCGTAGAGTTTGTGCTGAGCTTGTGCTGGGTATCAGAGAACTGGAGGGCCATAGCGGCAGGACTGTCGAGGAGAGCAACGATTTGGTGTTCGCTTCCTCGATGCTCGAGATCCTGGAAGAAAGAAACTTCAAGTGGAAACGAGGAGGAGGAGGGAGGGATAGGCCGGGAGTCGTGAGAGACGAGGAGTGGAGATGCGCTGCTCTTGAATTTCTCGTGGGCGAATATCAGTGCTTGATCCTTCTGGAGGGGAACAGGGAGAGGAGCAGGGGAGTGGTTGAGTCAGATGAGAAGAAGGAACACGAGGGGATAGAGAAGGGACTGAAGAAGCTCAGACGTCTCCTGATCAAGTTCAACCAACCGAACGGATCAAAGGCATCCACATTGTTGAAAAGCGTCCGGGCCGCAGCTTTGAAGGCGATCGCCAAGACAGAGAAAGGTGGAGGAGAAGCGCATCTGACGCCCTCCATCTTCGAGGTCGATGAGAAGCTCGTGCAAGACCATCTCCATACACTTGAGGAGATCTCTCAAGAGCTACACGGAGAGTGCAAACTAAGAAGAGAGATGCTGTTGACGAGGATGAAGGCGACAGCTCACTGCTTTCAGCTGTCACAGGCTAAGATGGACGCCAAGGTGATGTCCAGACTGAGTGAGATCGAAAACTTCGAGCTAGACAGCAAGTACTACAAACCCGAGGTCTTGAAAGCTTTTGTTGAGCGTATCATCCTGACGATTCTGCTTCAAGGAGCTCGTTAAGATCGACGTAGCTGATGTTGTCCGTGCATTTCATGCCGTCAGCGGATCTTCTCAGAGTGCTGTCAAGAGACATCTCATCGGAAGAGTTCCAGATCGGTGACAGGACGTTAAAACTTGTGATTGCTGTTGTGATATGTGCTTCAAACATTGTGTTTGCAATTGGTGAAATGTGCTGCAAATATTGTGTGCCTTCAGTTTACATGACACTAAGGTTGTTCCAGCGGGGGTCGAGCCGATGAAGTCAGGAATCATGTTGTGGAGCGCGAAGTGCAAAGAGCAAACGACATGATGAGAGGAGGGGCGAGCAGGGCAGGCAAGACTGACAGGATGTGGAGGACCCAGGATAGGCCAAGGGACTGGCAGGAAGAGATTAAGATCAAGTTGCTGGCTGGTGTTGACGTGAATGCTTCAGGTGCAGAAGAAGGGAAGATTCGAGCAAGTCAACGTGGGACTTCAACAAGGGAGATCTGTGGAGAAGGTATGTGTGAATGTACAACTGTAACATGTCGTGAAGAAATGTGATGCAGTCAGCGCTGAAGCTGAAGAGGGGAGAGAGAGAAGGGCCTGAGATATCAAGAGAAGAGATGGTAGCCGTGCTCCTTGTTCCTGCCCGGGCCTCATTGCACTCCCAGGAGAAGCGGAGGAAGAGGGAGAATCGATTTTCTTGATGAGTGCGTGCGGGGGATGCAGAGCTCGGGGGGAGTCTGGAGGAGGAGAGCAGGAGAATAGTTAACATGACCCTGTTTGTGTGTCATGAACAACAGCTCTTTGTGTGTCATGAACAACAGCTGTTTGTGTGTCATGAACAACAGCTGTTTGTGTGTCATGAACAACAGCTGTTTGTGTGTCATGAACAACAGCTGTTTGTGGAGGTGAAGCTCGTCAATTTTCCTCTGATTCATTTTCTCTTTCGTCCACCTTCCATCTCCCTTCGTCCTCTCATTATACCCTCCCGCTCCGAATCAATGGAAGCAGACACGAACGGTTCGTGAGGTTTGTCCACGAGTCCATCATCAACGTGGCGTATACAACACAGCAAGAAGAATATTCTCACTCATCGCTACACTTACAACATGTTCCTCTTCTCATACTTGTTCTTACTTCCACTTGTGTCCATCGTACGATGACACGAACTCGCAAGGTGAGACAGGCCACAACGCCCCATCTTTCCACAATTGCAACCTGGAGCAACTGGAAGAACAATGTGGCAGCCATTAAGACAAGAGAGGAGGAGGGGGGAGGTGAACATACCTGTCGAGCTTCATGAGAGCCGCTCCCATCTCGCCGAAACCACTTCGACTGCAACATTGTGAGACAAATATAGTCAACAAAAGCAATGAGATCAAGACAGGTAGAAGAGTGAACCCAAGAATGAAAGAGTGACAACAACACAAGTGAGAGCTACAAGACAACTGAAAGACCACCTGAAAATGAACTCCTTGCAGAATTGAAAAAAGTGGAAAGTTGCAAATACGTCCTCCGCATCGTTTGCCCGGAATCTTCTCCCGCCCTCTTGGTACCAGT